TCAACTCATCCCAGCTTCCGTCTAGTCTTCTGGCTATTCATTTGGTTAATCAGACATTACGCCCTGAGCCTCTGGTTAATGGAGTCCATCGCCACAATGCCATCTCACAGCCATGTTGATTATTTGGGCGTCTCTTATCTCTGCTCACCAGGGGCTTTATAGTAAACAACAGAGACCAAGGACCAAGCATTACACAAAAACAATTAGCAGAACATCCCTAAAGGTGCACCGAAGCCTGAAAGAGATTTTAAATCAGTGCTGAGAACAGATTTGTTCAAAGTGAAGTCCCTCTACCAATTTAAGTTCAGTCTCCAGTGGATCGACTTGTGGGTTAGTTTTTACTGTTCCTGTAAATGTTTTGGTTGTTATCCACTCATAATACAAAGGTTACACAAGGACAGCTTCTCATATTGTCCATAATGTCACATCTACTGCTCATTATGTAACAGTAATATAATTTAGTCATCATGTTGCGGATGAATTAATGGATGAATCCATTAATTTGTGATATAACTGGGTCAGTCACATTGATTTGTGATGTCCACAACTGGCTGCCAAAACTTCCGTCCAGTGTTATGATAATTAACGTAATGTCAGCTGTTATGGTAATAACTGTACTGAATTACCACAGTGAGACAGTTATGTAATTATGTATTCAAACAATTCACTGTTTCCAGTCATTTGAGTAAACATGGATTCATTTCAAGATGTCCATCATACATGATTCAATACTTGTTGCCAGTTGCCCTGTAGGCACTTAATCTCCAGCCGTCCCGCAGGAATTACTCTGTGGTTCAAAAACACCAAACTGTATTTGTGCTTGGCTGCTCTCTGCTCTGTGTTGATGTGAGACCTTCTCTCACCCCGGCTGTATCCAGATGAAGAATGTGTTTTTATAACCTGATTTAAAAGATTTAAGACAACAGATTGGAGATGAAAACAGATATTCTCGACTTTGGAAAGTTGGCACCGTTATACAGGACAGTTTGGGTGATAAGATAGTCATAGGACTCCTCCTTTGATTCTGTGTGTGAATTTAAATCGTGGGATGGCTTCGTGGTACATCTGATTTGACAGAGACTCCCCAGTGAAGAAACACCATCTTGTGACCAGGTTGGACGTAGCGTAACGTAATATCCCCCTTGGGAAATCAATGTTTATTACATTATAGACAGTAACTTAATTAGCTGCTTACTAGCTTCACCCCAGGAAACCCTGATTTAAAGCCTGTTTATAACCATTTATGAAGCTCCTGCCCCTTAAAGGGAAGTCCACCCTAACATCAAAACTACAGATTTTTCCTTTTATCTGTAGTGCTTTCTATTAGACTAGATTGTTTTGGTGTGAGGTGCTGAGTGTTGGAGATATCAGCTGTAGAGATGTCTGCCTTCTCTCCAACATAATAGAACTAAATGGCACTCAGCTTGTGGTGCTCAAAGTGCCAGAAAAATCAATTTTAAAAACTCAACATCAACGTCTCTTTCCAGAAATCATGACCTGGTTACTCAAGATAATCCACAGACCTTGTTGTGAGCAGTTTCATGTAGGAAATATTTTCTGTCTACTGAACTCCAGCCACCAACTGTATCGTGCAGAAGGAAGCGTGCATCTACTTATGAATGAGAGGCTCGTGCTCATGACAGCGCAAGATGTAAACATTAATGGTGTTCTGAAAACTTTAAAGACAGATTTGATTGACACACCGTGAGGTTGTATTTATTTTTAGATGAAAAAAAAAAAACAGACTCAGTGTGCAAAGACCTTAACAAGCCTAGTGCCATCTAGGTCCTTTATATTGAAGAGAAGGCAGACATGTCTATGCCCGATATCTCCCAACATTCGGTCACTCACACCGAAACAATCTACATAATGTCTTTTTTGGATTTTGAGGTGAACTGTCCCTCTAAAAAAACATTTCTTCACCTTTCAAGGTGTCCTCTCTTTTATGGAAAATGATGCCATCAAGGCCACAATAAAAAATTCATGGTAATTCTTAATAATAATTTGCTAATTTCAGATAGAGATCGACACATGCACGCTAAAAAGACAGCTTTTGCTAACAGACTTTATTTGCTTTAGCTAGCTGGCTAATAAAAGGCTGTGTTGTTGCCGCAGCGGGGTCGATTCCAACCCACAGCCCTTTGCTGCATGTCGTTCCCTCTCTCTCTCTCTCTCTCTCTCTCTCTCTCTCTTTTGTGTTTTGAATAGATTAGGAGGGATGCCTGAGTGCACCATTGTCTGTATCTTTGTCTGTAATTGTTTAAGCAACTAAATTAACTGTATCTGTATCTGTGCTCGAAATGGGCGGCATTTAGACTCCAAAGTGGGTGGAGGTTAACTTGAAACTGGGTGGGACCAAAACAGCAGTTTTTTATTTTAAGCCTGAAATTGGTATGGGTTAATCAGAAGTTGCTATATTTATAATTCATTATAACACTATTCAGATACAACAATCTTAGAATTGAGCATTAAACACAGGTACCTAAATGAGGGTTTACCCCCATCAGGAGCACAGATATTGACAGATTCTACTGGTATAGTACTTGCATTCATATAAAGTATGTTATTTGTACCAGATACTCATTTAATCAAAGTATTCAGCTCAGTCCTATTGATGAGCCATTTTCACAGTGGACAAAAAAGTTAAATTTACAACTTGTGTTTGCAGCTTAAGTTAGAGCATACATACACACCACTAGATCAATGTTTACCTTTCTATTTTTGGTTTTAGACAGGTTACACAGAAATAAACCAACCCTCAAACTCTATATATGGCCACTAAGCCCCTCCCCCAAACAATGATTGATTAATCATAGTGTAGCAAATGGTTAATAACACATCTGTTACCTGACATATTATATAAATATCAACTATTAATCTTCTGTATGGGCGGCACGGTGGTGTGGTGGTTAGCACTGTCGCCTCACAGCAAGAGGGTTGCCGGTTCGATCCTGGGTGTGGGAGCCCTTCTGTGCGGAGTTTGCATGTTCTCCCCGTGTCAGCGTGGGTTCTCTCCGGGCACTCCGGCTTCCTCCCACAGTCCAAAGACATGCAGATTGGGGACTAGGTTAATTGGTAACTCTAAATTGTCTGTAGGTGTGAATGTGAGCGTGAATGGTTGTTTGTCTCTATGTGTCAGCCCTGCGATAGTCTGGCAACCTGTCCAGGGTGTACCCTGCCTCTCGCCCAATGTCAGCTGGGATAGGCTCCAGCCCCCCGCGACCCTCAAGAGGATGAAGCGGTTAGAAGATGAATGAATGAATGAATGAATCTTCTGTATACTGAATGTCACACTTTTAGCCTCGTTAATAGTGACCACCTCACAAATAAAACACCACATTTGCATAAAAAACCTTTATTGAACAGCTCTCCTCAAAAAATATTCAAATTTCTGTAGCTTTGGTATGAACTCATGTATATCATGTATATCTCATGTATACAAGATCTAAACAGCACATAGAAAACAGTTTGTGTGCTCAAAGTGAATTACAAAAAGGTTGCACATGCTGTAATCCTCTGCAGCTGTATCAGTTATCAAAAAATTTAACAAGATGCAGACAAGCACATGGCAAACAATATATACAGAACAAACTTATTCCATCTAAAAGATATTTGTTGCCTCGGGTGAAGTTCTTTGTTATGTTTTCCTGGAAAATACCAGAAAATAATTAGTGTCTCTGGTTAGGATTTCCTCTGATATTTAAAGACTGTTGGCTGGCTTTGATGGAGGCAAATAGTTTTTGGAGATTGTGGAAATTCTGAGAAGAGGCTGATGCCTGTCCACATGCACTACTGACTGTGTGCCCATGTGCAATGCACTGAACCGCTTATAATTTTAGAGATGACCGAAGATCATTCACATTAAAGGGCCTGTGGGACACCTTGCACATTGGGTGTTGACCAAATCCAGCACAGTTAAAAAACTGATTTGACAGCTGTTAGCACATGTAGGAATGTCTGTCTGAAAAGATCAGTCCAGAGAGGCAGGGCTGAGTGATATGGCTTATAAATAATATCTCAGAGTTTTTAGGGTATGCCGCGATTTATGATATATATCTTCATATTTTTATATTTTCTCTAAAATACATTAATTGTTTCATTTAACCCTTTGATGCGTATGATTATATCAGTGTGATCATTGTAGTAAACTAATATAAATATATAGAGGGAACACAGCTGTACTCCATTTACTCTAACGCAGTCGTTTCAGATTTCCTTCATTTTCAGGCTGGTTTTGTGGATTAGGAGCTAAATGTTGTGCCTGGGGCACGTCGTTTATTAATGATACTCATTACCTGGAGAGGTTGGAAAAAGATTTGAATGATTATAACAGTGAAAAAAAGACCAACCCTGCTGTACAGGATTCAGTGAAGGGAAGCAGGGAAACTTTGCTGATATTCAACCAGCTGTGTGTCATCACATTTTTTTTTTTTTCATCCCTGCCCGTCCGGCAGTGGAGGTCCGGGTGCTAGTAATGGCCAAATGAAGCCTCATGAAGCATTTTCTTTATTTTCTGAGCCCACTAGATGGTGCTTGGTGTTCAGTAAAAGGTTGAAAGCATACTGAATTGCAATTCTTTGAGCCTCTCTCTTTAAACCATGACATCAAATATAGTGGGCTCAGAAAATAAAGAAAATGCTTCATGAGGATTCATTTGGCCATCACTACCGGGTGCTGGCAGTGTCACAGGGACGAAGCCAAACACTGTTCATCTGCACACACTGCGATGCCACACAGCTGGTTCAATATCGGTGAAGTTTCCCTTTATATTCATTGTCTTCTGTGTCGATCAGCAGTGATGTGGTGGTTCACTTTTACACTGTGATCTGTAGCCTATAGTTCGGCTTTAGCTTCTAACTATCTTTGTCTTTTTAACCTGTTGTTGCTGCTGAGTCAGTTTGACATCCTGGATATATCCTTCAAACACAGACTGTAGACCCCTCTGTCTGCTTCTCTCTGGAATCACTCTTTCATTTTTCCAAAATATGATAATATGTCTTTAGGGAGTGCAGTTAGTTACGGTGTGGGCTCCATGCTTACTTCGACAGCTTGTCGGACCATCACAAAGGGGAGGGGCTTAGCAAAAGGGCAGTCGGGCACTTGCAAGTAAATGGCAAAGGGTAAAGACAAAGTTTTTGAGCTGAGGCAAAAGCGAGTATTTAAATTATCCAGGAGACAGGAGCTTATTCAGGTGGTGTGAAGAGGATGTGGATGAAACCCCAGCAATGTATTGTGCAGTTGGCTGCAAGGTGAGTAAACTGAGTCATTTTTCATGACAAATAACTTGATAACCACTAATAAATACAACTATTTGTAAAAAGAAAGTAAAAATTTCCTCCAGGCAGTTAGATTACTGACCCATTTGCCTGACTGGCTAATGATAGAAAAACATTACCTCTGATCACTGCCATGAATGTATAAAGAGAACTGGATACAGCTCCTGCATCATTGAGCATACACAGCGGGTGCACCAGAGACCAGGTGGTTGAGTGGCTAACTGCTGGTTTAGCCCTTTGCTAACTGGAATTGAAATTAAAACGATTGTATCGTGTTGCTCTTCTACACTTGAGAAATGTGAATGGATAAAATCTTGATAGTGAGACAAAACATTTTGCAGGGGTTGAGATGCTCAAAAAATTATCAATTGAGCCTAGTGGCATTACATGACCAACCCAGATGTTTCAGTTCCACAGTTTGACCACTATGACAGATTAAGCTTCAGTTCAGCCCTGTTGTTGGCGGCTTTGCCAGCACTGAGTATCTGTATCAAGTCTATCCACTAAGTAGCACCAGACACTGTATTTCTTCAAACTCATTTGTGTGCTGCAACAGTGCACGTGCACATCGTTTTTTTCACGTCGAAGAAACTATACAGTAACTCTCCAACATGCACCTATTTCACTATTCTTAAGTCACTAATCCTGAAAAAACTGTAATGTAGCTAGCATGCTAGCAATGCTACTTGTCCAACAAACCACACATTAAACCACTTAAATGAAAACTACTTATGCATTTAAAGTGATTAATGGTGGAGAATGAAAGCTAAAAGACTGATACTTTAAAATAATTACCAGCACGCTCTCATCACTCTTTCTTGTCTCTTTTGTCTTTTAATCTTTTCTACTCTTGAACAGATTCTAAACTGCTCGGGGTGATAAACAACTTGTGTTCTTAAACCTCACTTTGTAACCACAGCCAGTAACCAATCAATACAAAATACATCTTATCCCTCCTCCTGCACTCTGAGCACATTTCTGACGGTTGATCTTATCCAACAGTGCTTTCTCCCAAAATTGTGATAAGAACATCATTTAAATGCTTGTCCCTTGCAAGACAGATATATACTTTTTCTCTGCAGAGAAACACACATGCCCACCTCTTGCAGGTTTATATTGTCCAGAGGCAGTCCAAGCCTTTGTTACTGGTCCATCATGTCTACTAGCTGGGGTGAAGCTGATGCAACAGCCGCGTAAAATCCACCTGGACTCGCTGCTACTCTCCAAGCCTCAGTAACACCACCTCTCTCATTATTAATGATGTCCTGGCTGGGGAGTTTGGGAGTTTGTGGTTATAGCTGATCATCAGCCGTCAAAGTGGGCCACTAGCGATACTACGACAGGTTTGTTGATGTCTGAAGAGGGGCCTTTGGTGACGTCAATGGTGGGTTCCACTGAGGGGTCCAGTTGGGGGATGGTGGCTGCTGGTTGACCCAAGGAGGCTACCATAAATAGGAAGTCGTTGGTGCGGCGGGGACCAGTCACTGCTACGCCTCTTACGGCCTTGGTGGCGACCTTGGAGGAGCTCTTTAAGCTGGAGCCTCGTCGCGGAGTCTCACAATGTAGCAGGGCTTGGAAACATCTGTAAAACTGGGGCAAGCACACAACACAGACATCAGAAATATACTGCGCTGCAAAATTCTTCAAGACACCACAGAGGATGACCTTGTAGCCAAGAAGGTTATTTTTGTAAAACTGTTGCCAGATCTTGTCTGAAAACAATGAATATGAATGTTACATCCACAACACATATTGCCTAAACATGAATTTCATTCAAGCTGTGGTCTCTAGTAACAGGAAGTTAATTTGCCACATAATTTTCCTGTATCTCTCCGTCTCTCTCTCTCTGGTGGTCCTTTAGGCAAATTCCAGATAATTAGGACTGATCAGACCCGTGTTCCCTCTTCCTGCCCTGCTCTGTACCCCTGCTTCCCACCGTACCACTCTGTCAATGAGGTTATTGTGTCGCCTGTCTGTTCATGTGGAACAATACGCCAGGGGACACAAATAATTTCTAAAGTTTCCAAAGTAAATTAAATGTTCAACTAATTACATTCTCAATCATGAGTGCGAACCATTACTGCATTTTTAACTAGATAAGTAATTTTTTTAATGTGTGCTTATAAAGTGTGGTGAAGTGTGGAGAGTTTCACCTATTTTGGTATTTTCTCTTTGGTAAAATTGCCCAAAATTTCCATTTAGTTTATAGGGCTGTACCCAAATATTCGGATATTAGAATATTCGTTTCTATGGGTAGGTATTTGTTAAAATTTGGAAAATTTGGATTTCGATAATCGTTTTTTTATTTACTTTTTTTTTTTTTTTTTTTTTTGTAAACATTTTTTTGGTGCTAAATGTAGTCTTTTTGTTGTTGGTAAATGTAGGTTATCAATAAAAATCAAAACTTTTAAATTGCATTGTTAAAAATGTGAAAATATAGTATCGCCTACCAACTGAGCTTGTGCGCACGGCACGCTTGAGTGCATCCATCTGAGGCTGTGGATCAATGCCAGGTTTTACCACTTTATCACTATTCCCTCTAACTTGTAGCTGTTTGTTGTTATCTTTTGAATTTAATATGAATTATGTTACGTTTTTGTCAACGTTTGTTTCCCCCGTTTTGTACAATAAATTATTGTTTAAAGTTTCAACAAGTTTCTTTTGGAGTGCATGACACAAGTGTGTTTTGAAAACGGCCGCGGACTGTCACCTGCTCAACAAATATCATTTACAGCCCGATTTAACAGACGATCACTGCTGCCCGACCCGCAGGTCCATTTGCGGTTCCCGCGGTTTACGGGTCGACCCGCGCATCACTACTCAGCTCAGTCTATAAATGCTGTGCACAACAGTAAGGCTATAGACATTATATTCTATTCAGGCCGACAGAACCAGCAGCGCATCAGCTCTACAGTGCACGGCACTGCTGATTAACCATTTTATTGCAGCACAGAGTGTCTGCCAGCAACCAATTACTTGTAGAGGCTTCCTACAACTTGTTTCAACGGTTCTGATTTAATCAGAAGATAAACAGGATGACTAGCCAATGTGAAAATGAAAAGAAAGCATAGAATAATGTACTGAAGGAGTCTGTTGTGCCATCACATTTTTTTGTGGTTTGAGAGCAAAGATCTGGTCGCCGCTGTGCAAAACTCCGCAATACAATTAGGTCCGAAAAAATGAAGAATTAATGTGTGTGTACGTCCATGGTTCGGGACAGCCCTATTAGTTTATAATAATCATAGGACAATTTTATGTGTCAAATGAGTAAAAGCTGTTACCTTCAAGGGTAAGTTTGGACTGTATTTTTCCGTGTTTTTATGGAGACAATTTTCGAAATTGGTTCTGTATTGAGCGAGACCACAATGTAAAGGCTCAAATGATCATTCTAAGTGTCTGACAACATTATGGAAAGGATCCCTACAGAGAAAGACCTTTTTACTAAGAGTAAGATCCTTTTGTTTAACCAGAAACAGTCCCAAAATCACTGTTACCAAAGACACCAGACTCCATTAAAGTGAACAGTAATTTTAGCGTGTACAGAGCCAGCATATTTTCACATCTAACTGGGTGAATTAAAAGTTCATTTCAATCAAACTAGGGTTAGTGATTGTTGGAACAGTGAAAAGAAAAACCAAGACAGCTTTTGTGAATTTTATTTTGTTTCCATCGACTTTGAATAAAGTTTGTTTTCAAATGATAAAATTACAGTTTATTCAAATGGAGTCTGGTGGGTTTGCTAAAAGCGATAGATGGGCTGTTTCTTGTTAAACAAAAAGGATCTTACTCTTTAACAAAAAGGTCTATCTCTGCAGGGATCCATTTAGTAAGCAGTCACTTAAAATAACAATCTGTAATCTGTGAAACACGCACGATGACCAGCGCTAAAATCAACCTGTGTAGTTGTCCCTCCATTGTGACATTAGAAAGTGTCACATTTATCTTGCAAGTGTACTCTTCTTCAATGTTATGTTTACTTCCTGGATTTTTCCCACATGGAAATTCTGACCAATCAAGAGCAGCTTTCTTGTGCAGGCATTTGATCTGGTCTGCTTGTAAATGCTGCCGTGAGAACACGAACCAACTCTAGGCAATTATAAAACTTTGTAACAAAATTACTCCCTGATTCGGACCAAAGCAAGACAACTCTAGGTCTGAAAGCACCCTGAATTTAGGCTTTTTTTTTGGGTTTGATTTTCTTGTACAAACAGTAGTTTTTTGTTCTGTTGTCCACCCAGATAAACCCTGGTGCAGCCTTACGCTGACAGACTGGACACTAAATACTAGGCACCATCAACCAGTGGAATGGGAGCTCTCACTGGTTAGTGGCTGCAGCTTTCACTGTGTGTCCATGGTTAACTATATAATTAACAACCCTTTGGAGCTGAGACAGTGATGAGCTCTTGGGTGTCCCTCTCTTTCTGTATGAACAAAGACTCTGTCAAGGGAGAGAAGAGCAAGCCCACTCTGGATTTGCACTGTATCAACTTAATGAAAAGTTAAACAAAGGTCAGGGTTCTGCTGCATGTCAGCAGTCAATCAAAGTGGCCCACTTGTTGACTACTGTGCTTTAGTTTCTGGTGGTTTGATTGAGGGCTGAGAACTGTGCTGTAGACAACAAGAAAAACAGGGGTATTGGGTCTGGGCAAACATTTACAGTAACCAGGCCCTCCTTTATCACTGGACAAGTGGTGACTACACTTGTACATTGTATATCAACTCTGGATTTACAACCCAACAAAACTTTCACTCTCCCCCGAGATAGTTTAATTTCTAGTTTGGACTGAACAAGTTGGCACACAAAAATCAGCTAACAAAAGGCTCTTTATCTGATGTCTGTAAGTTTGGGGTAGCTCCTTGATAGGGATGCACCCATCCGACTTTTTCAGTCCCCCTACAGTAACCAGTACACCTGACTTTGGGTACCAGCTGATACCAAGTACTGATCTGATACCAGTGTTCAATTAATTAGCTTTATGCCTCATTATGGCGGAAGTGACTGGGATCATTCTCTTGTGTGCTGGCAACATCAGGCCTGACTTAAACATTGCTTTCCTAGCTAAAACAAAATGTAACAACTATATAGATGGATATAAATCTACTTTATTGTTATTTATTATTAAAGTAATAAACCGTACACCAGCAACTTAACAAGCAAATGTGTAAACCTCTTAAACAGGAATTAAAAGTCCAGTATAAAGCAATAAAACAGTATAAAATTAGAACAAAATGCGGTCTATCGCCAAGCTGCTGATGCATGACATAGTACATGCAAGCTTTATTAGACTTAAACATAGAATTGAATGGAAAAAATGGGCCCCATTGTCACTGATACATTAGACAGCAAGTTGAGTCAGTATCTGCGTGATATCCGATATCAGTATTGGATTGGTTCATCCCAACTCCTTGATCCAACTGAGGATGAGACCACCTGACCAGCCCGCTGGTTCTGGGAAGCTCTATCATAGAAGAATGCTATGATCGATACGAATGCCTTGCCCTAGTCAGACACTGATAGTAGAGGACCTGGGTGACAATGCTTGACATGGTTGTGGTTGTGATCCATAGTACACACCCTTCAGAGTGTGTCTGCTCAGTTCACCTTGCAAAATACTCTGGGTTCCAGCAGTGGTCTGAGGTTTAAACTCATTGAGCTGTTCATTAGAGTCTTGTGGAGTCTTTTTGGGCCTGTCACATTCGCGTAACTTCTATGTGTCAGTGGTTTCTTCCTGTCGTGTGGGCTTCTGTATGAGAAATTTGGTCAGCCACAGCCATCCCTTGACAAGGGTTTTTTTTTGTGAGGGTAGTCAGCACTTTGCCAGTCAATGTTCCAGCTATGCTCATTGCTCTCCTATAAGAGTCTAATTGTGTTGACTGGATTAGCAGCAAGCTGTTGTCTGTCGATACCACCCTGGTACCTGCTCAGACTGCAGCTGGAAGCCGACTTTTGAACCCAGTGTGTTGCTCATGCCGAGTGAAGAAGTGAAGCCCATTGTGCCTGTTACAGCAGCTAGAGATGTACTGATGCAATTTTCTTGGCAGATCCAACTTCAGGGTTTTTAAAAGTCTGGCCTGCCTATTCTGATTTTATTTCTCTCTAAAAAAGAGAATTGACAGCAACAAAAAAACTTTTCTCTAATGAAAGTTAAATTGTTTATAATAAAGTATTCACTTTTAAATAACATTTTCTCCAAAAGTGCTCCAGGTTACAGGAACTTCTCTCACTCTCACTCAAACAAATCTCAAAATAAAAAGTGCTTCAGGTCACAAAACTTATTTTGCACAAATAAAATCCAATTAAAAATGGAATGCAGTTTATCCTAATTTATCTAAAATGTTTTTCTTTCCCAAAAGAGAACAGGTGCAAGAAATTTATATATGCTAAAATGAATTATTTACATATCAGAGAAGAGGAATCGTAGAAAATATTATTCTATACCGCATGTGTGTTTAGGCTTATAATATAGATATGACTATTTTATGAAAATAATATATGAATCAGTATCTATTTACAAGAATGTAAAGTTGTGTGTACATTAGGCTGATAAATTAACTCCCACTGCTGCAGCAAGCAGCGTCTTCTCTCCTCC